ACTGTGGCCCATAGGCTGGAGTAGGCTAGGAAGCTGGTGGCTGGACCCCCGAGTGCTTGTTGGCGTTGACGTTGGCGGCAATGATCTCAGGCCGATAATGTCAACGCTAGGCAATTGGCCAATAAGGTTGTTGTTGCTGCTGCCTCTGCTTCAGCTGCTGCTGCTGCAACTGCGATAAGCATCAGGCCACATTGTTACCATCGATGTAGATGTACTCGGATCTGTGTGCGATTTTGTAGCAGTCTCTCGAGTTCGAGCTCTCTCTCTCCCTTCTCTCTCTTCCACTCCTTTGGAACAAATTAAACAAAAAGGCAACTTTTACTAGTACTTTGATGGTCCATGGGTCTACCCCATATATCTGTTGCTCATATTGCCACTGGTCTTTCATTTGAAATGCCGCAAATGGTTGGCGCCACTTGGCCAGCTCTTGTAATTGTAATTAACACAACTTTTATAGGGCGGAGGCAGGCCGGTGAAAGGATATACAATATTGTTTGTATTTATATGCCAGGCAATTATCTGCAAATGTTTTATTAGAGATATGTTTTTGACATAGCTGCTGGGGCGCCACAAGTGGGGAATTATCAAAAGAATTTCCTCATTAAGCATTGAGCAGAGCTGGCAATTATGTTCATAACCAGTAGATGATTGCCCTAAATCCTGCTTAACCCTTGCACAGACAAACTCATTAACAGACTCACACAATTTTTGCACGCAAATGGCCTAAGCAAGCCATTCATCCAGCGGCGCCCCCAGGCAGTCAGTCGAGAGCAAAAAAAAAAATTCTAAAACTCGTGCAAATGTGAAACTATTTTCACATAATTCCTCACCGTAGCAACAGCAGCAGCAACAGCAGCACAGTCCAGCGATTTCCCAGTGGCAATCAGTGGGGCCAACTAATGTCTCAGTTTAATTAGAGGAAAAAGCAGGCAACGGACAACGAACAACGAACAACGGAAAACGAGTAGCCAGATAGCCAGGAGACGCCATAGCAGAGAGGATGATGATGTGGTGGCAGTGTGGTCAGGTGGCGACATGGTCAACGTGAGTGAACGTTAACGTTTGCGGCAACATCAGACTCGACTCTGACTCCGACTCCGACTCAGACTCGCACTGAACTGAAGCATAGCCAAGACTTGATGGACAACCATGGGGCAGCATTAGACGGCGCCACATGGCTGACACACACAACTCGTCGCAAGTCACAAGTCGCAAGTCCAAGTAAATCAACAACTCAATTGCCTTTGCAGGTCACTTTCTGGATGACAATCGTCTGGAGCATCATGCGGTGGCCGGACAAGGTGAGTTACATGTCGCAGTCATCCAATAAGGAGGGGAGATGACTCATCTTTGGGATGGTATTAGCTCTGGATCACATTTCACTTGTAACCTCTCCTTTCTGCTGTCCTGTTGCAGGTGGCCTGGGTCTGGGAAGTGCCGCCAATGGCGGTGCGGGTGGTGGTGCCTCTGGCGGTGGCAACTCGAGCCTTGGCGCCCCTTCGCATCATGGGAATCATGTGAGCGCCGCAGCCGCTGCTGCTGCCCATCATCACAGCTCCGCTGTGGCAGCTGCCTCGGCGGCAGCCTCTCTGCTCGTCGTGCCCCAGCCCATCAATGCCAGCAAAATGGGCGGCGGACCGGGCGGTGTCGGTGCAGGGACTGTCGGTGGACATGCTCCAGGCGGCGGCAGTGGACGCAAGTATCAGTGCAAAATGTGCCCACAGGTGAGTCGATAAACGATTGTCCCGATTCCAATTTACGCCGCCCCTCGGTTGTTGCTGTTCGTATCTTAAGGGTAGTGGCTGCAACAGTTAAATTATGCTGATGCCGCTGGCAACCAATGCGTTGGTTGCATGAATCCTGGCCCAGTTAACCGGGGAGACGGCGTCGCATTCGCGGCCTCAGAGGACACTCCAGCGAGACACACCAGCTTTTGTTTACAATTTTCCAGTTGATTAATTCTCCGGGAAAAGTGTCGAATTTCAATGGTTTGGGATGGATAGCAGAGCCCTTTCTCTCATATCGAATTCCACTTTTTCTCACATTCATTCACGGCTCACATGCCCCACGCACTCTGTGGCATGACACTCAAGCCAGCACCAGAACCACAGCCAGAGCCAGGGCCAGGGCCCATGGCCAGGGAGCAGAACAGCTGCAGTTGCCTCGTAAAATGTCAATTATGCATCGGATCGGCCCTCTGCATGTGTTGATTGCTGCTAATTGAGCTTATTGTTTTTTAACGGTTATTTGTGGCAGGACACTCGGCGGCCAAGGCAGGTGCCAGCTGTCACAGGTGGTAATGAAATCTCTGGTAGAGAGTCAGCGATATGCGTGGGACACAGCCTTGGGTGGGCTGAAGATCCGATGAGAGATCACACAAAGACCGTTTGAGTAATTAAATTTTATAAAATTACACAAAAATTCAATTCTGTATTCAATTATGCAATAAAAGAAACTTTCTCTTCATGCCAAAAGGCGAAACAGTAACAAAACAAAAAGCTGCATTGTAGTTACAGTTTTGTTGTGCAGCACAACAGCAGCAGCAGCAGCAGCATTGACGCCGTAGGAATTTTTGGACGAATGATGTGTCCGGCCAGATATGCCACACCCACAATACCCACAAATTGCGGTGCGGAGCTAACAGCATTTGCAGCGCTGATGAGCGTTGCTCACACACACATATATACATACATATATAGAAGAGGAAGAGAGGTGCCCATATAGGTGGTGAGGTGTTCATTTGTGCGAGACAAAGTGAAATAGCAGCATGCCTAAAAGTATGCTACATTCCCAACTTTTTTTCTTCTGCCTGTTGGCTGCCTGCATGCGTTTGTGTATGTGTGTGGGAGCTGTCATTGCGTGCTTGTGTAAGTGTGTGTCAATTTTGTATTTCCTTTTGGCACACATACTACTGTGCGTGAGTGTGTGGGATGCACTACAGAAAATTAGTGCGTTTCTACGCTCAAAAGCGGCTGCTGCTACTTTTTTAATTACCCACACTTTCAATTTTTTCTGATCCTGCCACTGCCACTGACGCTGACGCTGTTGCTGCTCCTATAGCTGGACCTTGGCAGTCAGGCATCGGCCTCGTACCCCAGTCCCTGCCTCAATTGGAATTACTACACTTGGCACTCTCATCCGCACATTGGGATGGCCGAACAAAAACCAGCATCAGCAGCAGCATTCAGCTCTTCGTTTTTTTATGCTTTTCCCTGGCACTGGCCACATACTCGTATTCCGTATGTACCCCGCTCCACGCTCATGTGTGAGTGAGAGCCAGCCTATCATGTTAGTGTGTGCTCTGCTCGGCCACTTTCTTTGCATCTTTTTTTTCTGTCGAATGGAAAAAAACGATGGGAAGGGGTAGCCTTGCGCTGCTATTCTCCACCTCTTCTTGCTGTTGGAGCTGGCCGAAAAATTATGTTCACCATTTTTTGGGCGCATGTCAGGAGGGGTCTTCATTTTGTATGTTCTTTTGCATAGCAGCGGGAAGCATGAGGAAAATAAATTATTTTAAAATTATTTGTTTAATAAAAATTGGATCAGAATAAAGATTGAACACAGAAAAGGCTGAAATACTTTAATTAAAAACAGAATGGAAAGAGAGGGAAAACTGTGGAGAAACGAATGATTAAATGGGTTTCAAAGTGTTGGGAATTTCATTTAGAAAAAGAACTTTGCAATGCCAAAACATTATGCATAAATTCCACACTCTATACCTTTGATCTTTGAATTACATTAGCCATTCAACCTAAGTCCTTTAGCATTAAAATTAATCATGTACTTGCCACTAACTCTTTTTTTTTTTGTAGCAAAATATTTGTCTTGTGAACAAAAACAAAAATAACTATTTGGTTAAAAAAAAAGGGCGCTGTATATGGACCGCATGCCGCGCCCACTTGTTTCGGTCGACCGCCACACGGTTTACATAAAATTATAGAACACGCCTAGCAAAGGGGGCAGCAAAAAAAAAACGGCAGAATTAACTGAAATAAGCATAAAAGTATGCAACGCTTTTTGCACCATGTTATTATTAGCGCAACGCCACTCATGTGTCTCTATGTGTGTGTGAGAGAGCGAGACTCTCGCTCCCTTTTGCACACACACACACACGCATAGTACGCTTTTATTATTTTTAACGTGAATTTTTTAGTTTTATTTGACATTTGCATTTACTTTTTTTCCACCATTCTTCTTTCCTGCACTTTCAACATTTCCTCTGTGTGTGTGTCCAGTCACTAACACAATTACACGAGTGGTCAGCTAAAGGAACCAAAGCTGGGATGGTGTGCTGGTTGGGGGGGGTGCCGGGTGCTGGGCAAGGGCTCACACTATCAATTAGTGAATTACATGCGAAACAACGAGCGTAAAATGCTCTCGACCCAACACACACAACGCGGAAAAAGTGCTGAGAAAATAGAAAAATTGCGAAAAATTTGTTGCGCATACCAAAGCACACCCACACATACATAGACAGAGCAGCACACACACATGCGATTCCTGTACATGCATATAGGTATGTACATATATGTATGTATATACCAGTACAATTGCGGCGGCTTGTGTCTGTTATTCCCCTCATTTAATTAACAATAAAAATAGGCTAAAAAAGTCTAAAAAATAAAGTAAAAACTGCCTGCGAATTATGCATGCACACGCACACACACTTGCATACATATATTGCAATCATGCCATTTGTTAAACAATTTCCAACAAGCGCCCCCAAGTAGGCAACGCTTCTGTTGCTGTTGCAGCAGCAGCAGCACACACGCATGCATGGGACACATTCGCACACACATAGACTGGGGTCGGACTACGGCAGGCATTAAAATTTGATCCGATATAATACATGAATTATGTAAACTATTTTTATTTTTGTTTTGCTTATTTATTTTTCAGCTTTTTTCGTTTTTTATTATTTTATTTTTATTTTTGCGCTACACTTTTCTGCCACGGTATTGGTGCACGCTGCAGTTGCAGTTGCCCCTGACTGGGTGTATCAGTGTGTGCGTTTGCGTGTGTGTGGCATTAGCATTTGGTTAACGTTAACAACGTGGCAGATGGAACAACTGCAACTGCAGCCCCGTTTTTAGCGGTTAGCAACAGAATCGCATTGCACTCTGTCGCCGTCTCGCTTTAGGTTTATTTTTGATATTATTATACATTCTTTTTTACCCCTGTATACGCGTATAGTGGTGTGCGTGAGTGTGTACTATATAAGTGTGCGTATGGGTCTATTTATGCACTCCTCCAACGCATTCGAGTGCTTTGTTTTGCTTTGCTTGTTTTTTGCATTTAATGGCCACACACACAAATTTTTTACCAGCACTCAGCAAATTGTTTTTAAAACGCCAAACTAACTTTTTTCTTACCGCCTTCAGTTCTTTCAATATAGAATCGGTGGTCCATTCACCCAACGCTGGCATAATATTTTTCTTTGTGTTTTGGTTTACGCTTCACATAAACATAAATACTCGCATGGCCAAATGGAAATTATTAATTTTGTACTTCGCTTCACGGTTTTTCCTATGGGTTGGGGAATTAATCAACATTCAGCTAAAAAAGTTGAAATTCAATTTAAAATTTTAATAAATGTTTCAATATTCCAAATATATTGTCGAAAGATTACCAAGCTTTGGGCCATGCTATATTATTTATATCTGGTGGAAATGATTTCCAGCTGTTTTTATTTTATTTGCCAAAAAAAACTTTAAAATTTAAATTTTAAATTTACATTTTAAACGTCAATTCAGATGATATCTAGCAATTGTAATCAAATGAAATAGTTACCTTTAATCTTCCAATGATGAACGAACTTAACTCGATAAAATAAACAAATAAAAAATAAACAAAACATGATTCATCTGATTGTGGAGAGATTTACCTGCAATATGGAAGCACATTATTAAAATGCATACAAGTGCAGACTTATAGTCTTCTTACCATAGATCTAAAATAGGTTTTAACAGTGCTCCAGCGCCTGTGGCCATGATGATCCCATTGCCTGTGCCCATACCGATCATCGTCCGGGTAATCGCTGGACAAAGGTGCAGGTTGCACCTCCAGAAACTGAACCCAAAACACATGCGGCAGCAGGAGCAGCTCCTTCAGTACCTTTGTCCAGGTTGTGATATTCTCGACCGTCAAGTCGAGATCCCCGAACAGAGTTGGGGCCAATATTAGGGCCAGATTGTTGATGGACATTCGGGCATTCGGACTATCTGCCACACGCTTCCAGTGCAGCATGAGGTAGGCCAGCGTGTCACGGTGAGCCTGCTGTAGCATCTGAATTACACGATAGACATGCTCCTCCACGTCTGACGGATTGCTGTGGCTGGTGGCCCTCTCAAAGTCGCGCCTGTGGTAAATGGGTATCAGGGGATGCACCAGACGGCGGAGGAACTCCTTGATGCAGCAGCACAGGGTGTTTGTGTCCCTGCTACCCAGATGCGGTGTCCACTTGCCACGCAGCAGCTTCTGCCGCAACTGCTTGCACTTCTCCCGCGTCGAGGACAGCCGATAGAGTCCCTCCTGCTGCAGTCCACGCTCCTCGATCTCCGTCACACAATGGACTATCAAAGCCGGCACCATGGGCGCCACCGTGGGTGCATAATCACTGAGGCTTCCACGCTTACTGCTCATCTGCGGCTGGGGAATACAGTTGATTGTCAACTGGCGAGAGCAGCCGATGTGGCAGCGCAGCGGACAAGCCCGGCAACGCAAGCTGGCCGTTCCAAAGCCAATCCTAAGCAAGGCACAATGAGATCAGAATCCCTCTATTAGAACGACGACGGGTGACTCACCTTTTCTCGCAGTGCACACAATTCCCCACGTGGAAGTAATTGTTCTTCACCTTGAAGTTATGCTCACGCAGCAAACCGGAGTGCGACTGGGAGCAGGTTGTGTAGCAGTCGTCGATGCCATCTCTGGACACTCCATCGCCGGTACTCGGGTTCATATCAATGCCATTGTCTAGGGTATCAATGGACTGAGATCTATACATGCGAAAATGTTCGCTTAGATCATGGTAGGAGCTAAACTCCCTCAACATTCCCACTCTGCTCTGCATGGCTTGACGGTCGGGCACCAAATGAAGTAGCATTAAAAGTCCCACAAAATCTATTTTGAATCCAGCTGTTTTTTTTGTTGGTCAGTTGCAGTTACCCTCCCTCCCTCCGCCTTGAGTCAGCGACTGAAAGTTTTTGCGTTTCGTTTTTAGCTTCTGAGAATTTTAGCTCCGCTCCGAATTGTTTATTTAGACGTTGCTACATGGCCAGGGGCTACTGTAATGGATATGTTTTCTATAAACAAACATTCGTTTGGCGTATGATCGTTACTTGAGTGCGCCTTTACTGGAATTTTCCAATGTTTTATCAGTTCTAATTGCAGCATTGCCTACTGCTTAAAAGCTGATATGTTTCATATTTTATACAGAAAATGCCACTGATAGCGGTTTGGATTTTTTAAAAAGCCACCACGCGAAAGCTACCAAATGAAGTACAGATTCCTAGTTCGTTTAAACTATTTACGCCATAAAAGAACCAACTTTCACCTCTTTCCTGATTCAATGTCACGCTACAAATTGGAAAATCCACAAAAAAAATCAAGGGAAACTCCTGAACAAAAAAAAACAATTTTGCTAAAGTATCAATGAATTCTAAGCGCCCTGAAAATGGCTTAATGGCAACGCTAAATGGATGAAAAATTCATGGAAAAACGTTTTGCGGCCACCAGACAGGGAAAACAACCAAGAAAAATATTGTACGAAAAAAATGGAGTGAAGTTCATGGGAACCAGAGCGCGGAATTTGCACGACGAATATAGTCAGAAAGCAAATATGTTGAAACTCAAAAACAAAACTAGAAATAGAAAAATGTCAGGACACAAAGCAATGGCTCAATTGAAGCCTGGCAATGGGAATGGGAGTCTGATCTTCATGTTAAGATAATGTTTAATGATACTGTTCCCCCCAGCTATTCAGATCTTTGGGAGTACGTAGATGGGAGGCATTCAGAGTAGAAAGACAGCCTGCAAAACGGAATATAATTGTTCAGTTTTTCGCTTTTTTGACTACCCTGCCAGGGTGAAATTAACGAACAGGGCGGGGAATTTGATTTTTATATTTTTTGTAGTCGTTTTTTAGGCGTCAGCTGCTGCAGCGACGCCGCTTCCCTGTCGGTGTGACTGCGTCAAGGGGCTGGGTGTGGGCTGCGAGAGTGATGACTGGAGTGGAGTGTGGGAGCATGAGGAGTGGTTGCCACATTGAATTCGTAGTTATTAATGCGTATTGAAATGCACATGTGAGTGTGAGTGAGAGTGTTGCTCTCTATCTGTGAGTGAGAGTGTATATCCATCTCTCTGTCTCTCTTTTGTGAGGGGTATTCATAATTGCACTTGTGTGAGTGTGTGTGTGTACTATCTATGTATGCGAGTGACTGTTTTGTTTGTATTCAAAGTCCACAAATGCCAGTCACGCATCGCAATAAGCCCATGCAGTCAGCCCTAGCCCCTGTGTATAGGCCCAAAAACTCCCTCCCCCCCACCAAGCCTTCTTCTGACCAAAATGTACTTTTTTTTGTACTTTTTCTACCCATGACCATCTATGTGTGTGTGTACAAACTGTGTGTATGTATGACTGTCCACTGCGTTGCTTATTCAAAAAACAAAACAGCATAAAAAATGTTTGGACATGCAACAAAACATGTGCAAAAAAATAGAAGCAAAGCCGAGTGAAAAACGAGTGGTTAAAAAATGGCATCAAAGCACGTTGACAGTGTTGCCACGTGGTGATAATTAATTTTTCACACACGCCAGAGTTGACTTTTGAGCGATCAAAACTGTTTCTGAGCAGCTGCTGCTGCTACAAAACTATTCAATTCCAAAACTTTGTGGGCAGGGATAGACTGCAAAAAATGGTTTAACTATATAGAATATTTCAGAAAAAAATCTTCAAGGAAAGACTAAAATAATAAACTAAAAATCATTGTTAAACAATTTATTAAGAAAGAAGGATCTTCATATGGAAAATCTGTAATAATTATTCCTATAACATCACAAAAATTGCTCACTTAATTCAAGATCCTTTTTCAACAACCTTCTGCCACAATTGGCACATTGTTTAACCCAATTTTACAATTTATAATAAATTATATTTTTCAATGGCAACTCTGCAATTTTTTGCAAGATTCTCTTGCCCCATCGGCAAGAGAGACACATGCAACGGCAACGACAACAGCAAAGGCAAAAAAAAAGGAGACCTTAAAAAAAAGAATCTAAAAGCGAAAATACAACAGCAAATGCAACAAAAGCAGCAACACCACTCATCCCTGCAAAGGGGCTGCGCGGGATTGGGGAAATGTCAGGAAAAAAAAATGATTGTGTTTTGCGAATGTGGTGGGGGGCGGGGGTCGAAATGCACAAAGCATCCTTGCAGTACGTGCAAGCGGGATGGCATGAACTAAAGGAAAAAATTTATTTCCTGTGGCAAGAAAAAAAAAGTGTAGAAAAAAGAAAGCGGAGAGAGAGAGGGACGAACTGAGAAAAAAATGCACAGCGAATGGAAATGGAAAAAATTCTGGAAAAAATGTGCAAAGTGAGAGAGAAAGAGAGCAGGTGGAGTGGGATGGAGTGGGGTGGAGTGGGGTGGAGTGGGATGGCTAGCTGAGAAGAAGTTGAGGCAAGGTTGCAATGCGAAAAAAAGAACTTAGGAATAGCAGCAGCAGCAACGTCGGCGACGTCAGACACAAGCGTCGAGTCGACGTCAGCAGAAGGGGCAGAGTGAGCTTGAGAGTGTGGGTTGGTTGCATGGGTGGGTGGATGGGTGGATGAGTGGGTGGTTGAATGCTCGATGTGAGGTGGTTGCTGTTGGCAGTTAAGCCAACGCGGTGGCTTAGGTCAGGGCGGAGGCTGCCTGAGGTGTGTGCTCGTGTGTGCGATGGCTGCTGCCTCCTTTCCTTTCCTTTTTATTCTGTTCTGTTCTGTTTCCTTTTTTATTTTTTTGTATTTGCATTTGCTCTCAAGTTGTTTTGGGGCATTCCTTTTTCCCCAGACTGATTGAGTGCTGGAAAGCGCAACCACAGAAATGAGGCACGAGCTCGCATCCACGGGCAGACAGCTCTGCCTACTTATTGGGGGCACGTTTTTGATTAATTTGCTACCAAATGGTTTACAATTTATTGCTTCGAAAATAATTCTGTTAATTGTTGACCAGCGCTTAAAAAATTAACAAACAAAAATTGGCAAAAACAAAAACCAAAACACAATTTTCAAAGTCAAAAATTTTCGCTCTCTCTCTCTCTGTTTGGGCCTCTCCATCTCGCTCTGTTCACTCTCCTCTCGCTCTCAATAAAAAAAGCAAGCGCTCGCATCAAAGTCGAACAAAACAAAATGCAAAAAACCAGTGGGTGGAGTGGAGGGGGGTGGGCAGACAGGATATTTGGGGCGGCAAAGGCTAACAGCGAAAAAATTTTCCCCCTGCATTTGTATGAGTGTACTGGCATGTCGGTGTCTCTCTCTTTCTCTCTCTCTCTCACTCACTCACTGTCTCTCTCTTTGTGTGTGTGTGTGTGTGCGTGGGTTTGTCGCCGGCGCAAAAATTCCCCTTTTTTATTTTTTTACACAATTTTTTTCCGCGTTTTTTAGAGCCCCCCTCTACACCCCATTCCTCCTTTTTTGGGTTTGGGTCAATGTTGGCGCTCTGCTGTTGCTGCTGTTGCTTTGGCAGGTGGCTGCGCTGCCGGCTTCGCAGCATTTGAATAGCGCCAGCAGTGGCGCTGGCTTCGACGCCGGCGCCTGCCGCCGCCTATGCAACCAAAACTTTTTTTTTGCCTCTGTGTGCGTGTGGCGTACTTTTTTCGGTTTTTTTTTTTTTTTTCGCTTAGTTTGTTGTTGTTGCTGGCGCTGCTGCTGCTGCTACTGCTGCGGCCGCCACTTTTTTTTTACCGCTTGATTGTGTTTGTGTGCGAGTGGGGTTTTTCCCCATGATGCTGCCTGCCCCCTTCCCCTTCCTTCTCTGCTCTTGTTGTTGTCTGTGTCGGCCGGCGGCGGCCTTTAGTAAGCCAGGCCGCCACACCACCCACCTTGCCACCCAACCACCCACACACACACACAGACACACATAGAGACTCTGCTGCCGCTGCTGCTGCGTTTTGAAATTCTGCATTGGTGTTGGTGCGCGTTTTGTCTGTCTGCCTTCTGCGGCCTGTCGATGCTTTGGCCAGCAGCTCTCTGCCGCCTCGCTTTGCATCTCTCCATCTGTATGTGTGCCTGTGTGTGTGTGTGTGTGAGTGCTGGTGCTGGCGCCCCCCAAAAATATATTGTTTCAGATTTTTTCATCATCGCTTTAGTTGAGTTTTTACATTGGTGACGGATCGTGCTCTCGGCTCCGGCACGCGCTGCCTGCTCCAAAAACCGCTCGGCCGCTCGCTAAAGCTCGTCCTAAAGACCCGTCCAAAGGCGCGCCAACAACATTTCATTCAGTCTGCTGTTAGTTTTTTCTGTGTGCGCAACATGTTCCTTGAGACCGAGACACGGCCGAGACCGAGACACCGACAACACCGACACCGAGCCCGTCAATGACAACAGTAACCACTACAAGCGCTTTCCACGGCAAAACGTCTTCGGACCCCGTCCCCGTACTCCTTTTACCGCCTGCTCGCGGCAGCATTAAGAAAAAGTAGCAGCAAAAGAAAAAGTGGAGGCAGCAGCAGCAAGCCGCAAAGAAAGAAAGCAACTCAAAAACAACAACAACAACAATAGCAGCAAGGGAAAGACGATTTTTTTCTTGACTTGGTTTCGGTTTCCGTTTCCGGTGGGACGTGTGCGCGCTTTTAGACATTTTCCGGCTTTTGCCTTCTGCTCTGCTCTCTCACTCTCTTGCGCGCGCTCTTGCCTTGCCATTCGATTTCTTTGCAGTGTGTGTTTATTTATTGTTTGGCCAAGAAAAAATATCAAACGCGAGTTTGGGTGTGGGTATGTGTTTCTCCTTGCCTGTATGTGTGTGTGTGTCTTAAGGATACGCGAGTTTTTCTAACGCAATGCGTCCTTGTCTTGGTCGTTGGCATCGTCGTCGTCGTCACGTGCAGACACTAAGAAGAAAGTCAAGCAGCCAGCAGCTGGCTTTGTTTTGCTTGCCACACTCGGTATATATATGAGTGTGTGTGTGTGTGTGTGTGTAGCTGGCGGGCTTTTCATATAAATAATAAATGTACTTCGCCGGTCGGTCTCCCTGTCTGTGCCCTGTGTGTCTGTGTTTGTACAGCATATCAGCTGTTTCTTGTGTTCAATATCAAGGTCAGGATAAATCTCAAACAACCAGTGCCGCTGCCGGTACGT